TGTACTAAATTTGAATGAAAACTGACAAAGCATGTCCAAAATACAACATTTTCAAAAAACAAGATGGCTGCCAGTTGGCCATTTTGAATCGAATCGCTAAACCACTGCATGTGCACATGTCCCACATAAAGTACTCGGCACATGCAAAGAATGAACAGAATCGGTCCAAGGGATTCTGAGATATGACTCCGGACGGGCGCACGGACGCACAGAAACCAAATTATAAGTCCCTGTTTTCGGACTTCGTTCGAACGGGGACTAAAAAATCAAAATTGTGTGTGACGACATCGACAAACTTTAGGATGAAGCTGTAGGGATCTTGTTCGATGGCGACAGTGATGGCGACTCAGAATTTGAGGATTTTGACTTTGACCATGGAGGTACCATGCTTTGACGAAGATGGCCATGAAAGTACTACAAAATAGAGATCTGCGAATTTTTTCTGAACTATGAACTTTCGTAATTTTCACTGTGTAAATTCGTAAATTATTAATGTTTGTGTATGACTGTTGGTCCGTTGTTTGTCAAAACAGGAAATAATTTTATGCAGTTTAACCCATGACATTTTAGTTCATAAGTATTGAGCATGTTTGTCGGAAGGGAAATCTTAAATTCGAATGATTGTTCACTGTCGATTTTTATTATTTCTGGTTTATTTGTCACATTATAAGCAATACATTATTTTTGTTTTTACTTCTTATGTTGCATATTGTTCATTTATTCGTCTTGCGTGTTTTATTAACCATCGCAATTTGATATTTGTTTTTATTTGCCGGGACTATCCGGACAAACGCCCACCCCTATTTTTTGACAATTTTCCATGTTCAGGACCCTGGGCTCTTACCCGGATAAATACGGTATATGAACATGTAAATATTACTATTTAGTTGGATTTATTTTTCATTTTTATTTAAGATACTATATTTTCTCATAAAAATATAGATAAAACCAAAAATTGCATTTCTTTTATACTGGATCATTCAAATGCAACTTTTGATCATAGAAACACATCTGGTTACACTTACACTGGTTTGGCTTTAACTTTAGGTTTTGCACCTTCATCCTCTGTTTCAGACAGTTCTTCTTCTACGCTATGATCCTCTTCACCATCCATGTTATCATCATCCTCATCATCTTCATCACTGAACTGCATTACTCTTCTTCGTTTTTCTTTTCTTTTAGTGAGAGTTTCATCTTCGTCTTCTTCATCTTCAACATCAGACATGATATGGAATGATACATCACTACCATCATCATCATCCTCCTCCTTCTCCTCATTCTCTTTGGTGTTCTCAGTTTTTTCTTTTGAGCTAATTAAATACAACAAATATTTATATATAATGGTTTTGTGTATCAGTCCTCCAATTTCCATTGTGACTCTTCAAATTTTCAAGTCTATATATCGGATATAGATTCCTACCTTTCTGTGAATGTGCCAGAACACAGACCTAACAGTTCATCCATACTTGACCTCTGACAACTGGATGCAAGTTCCCCAGATGAGAAATGTGAAAACAAACCTTTTGGTTTGGGATTAACACATTCCTTGATAGAAGATGAACTAGATTGAGTATCTATTGGGAGTGAAACAATAATATATTTCTTGTTTAATTCATGCATAAAATTTATCATATTTAGGGAAAAATCCTACATATGAAAAAGATGTATGCTTCTATTATAATAAGTAAGGTATACCCTTATGGCAGGAGAGCTTGATCAATTATTTTAAGCTTTACATAAGTTTATATAAATGTGTGAATTTGTAGTAGTTTTCAGTGATTTCTACATTAATTTACATAAATGCATACATTTTTAGTACTTTCCAGTGACAATTAAGGTAGCGAGACTATTATTTGTGTTGAAAATTATGATTTTCAAATTTATTTATTAATTGATGAAATGCACCATAAACTTTCATATGATAAAGTCAATATAACATAGAATGTCATGTAAGTTGGTTAAAATGTAGATTTTCTGAAGGGAAGCAAGGCAGCCTCAGTAGTGTTTTCCAAAATCAACAACACAGGTTTAATCTGTGTGCCTATAAGTTTCAAAGATAAACTCAAGACAAAGCAATGTTAGGATGTGTTATCAGTAGCTATCTGACACACAACCAGTGTTTCCAAACATTTGAGTGGTTTGTCTCCGCCCCTGTTTGTTTCACAGATTAGTCATTTGCATATGAATGTGTCAGACACAAGGTCACACAGCCACTGAAAAAAATCATTGATTTTGGTGTTTTCATATGCCGAATTTATCCAATTATAGCTATCCCATTCCTTTATTTTTTTGGTTTCCAATAGCCTTACACATTTGGATGTCCCTACACATGGTAAAACAGACCTTGATGGGAAAACAAATTGATTGTGCCGATAAACAAGCTTGAAAATCTTTGCTGTTACTTCATGGACGATTTCTAGGAGTTTATGTTTTTCAAAATACTAGGTCTTTAACAAAAAATAACGTATACTTATTGTCGTCGGATTAACACCAAATTTTCACAGCTTTAAGTGA